TAACGGTTAGCAGGTGACCCTGCTAAAGCACAGCAGCTAACGGTTAGCATGGGACCCTGCTAACCATTAGTTGCCGTGCGTCAATGCGAGAAAATCCCGATCCGGATACCAAATATATGATGATCGAATCACTGGCCAATAAGAAACTGGAAATTGTAAACGCGTACGTGTGATTGGATCCGGATCCTGCTAACCGTTAGCAGTTGTGTGAGAACATAGCCAAATATAGTTTATATAATTTAAATAAAGAAATATATTTAATAATAAGATTTTTTTATTTTTTGAGAAACAAATTTTCTCTTAGGATTTAAAACTATTTAAGCCTTCTTCCAAATCAGCTAATGCAATTGAGTTTGTTACTTCCTTCAATGCTAGTAACTTACTTTCATGGGTCCATTTTTGATAGCTGTTGTTCGTCTTTCTGGAGCCCTGGAGAAGAGTACTATAGTGATGAAGTCTATGCAATCACTTTGCAAAGTAAGCGAAATCCAGTCTGTGATGGTGGATATGTCAAAGGAAATGATGAAGGTATGACTTATAAACTAATAAGACTTTCCAGTACACTATTTGAATACCAAAGCAGGTTTTATTTAGCAACAAGGTTTTAAAACCAACAGTATGTCTTCCTTAGAAAAACAAAATCTACATTTTTACATTTTAATTTGAAAAAAAAAAGTTAGAAATTAGACGTACTATAGTCATACAAGTCTAGGGTACAGTAATATCAAGGATTGATTTACTTTATGAAATTTGTTTTCTTGGTCTAGACAGAGATGCATAATGCAAAAAATAAACTAAACATTTATAATCAACTACAGAAGATCCATAAATACTATACAAAAAGGTACACTGTCTATATTGCAATATTAAACAAACTATCTTTGGAACAGAAAATAGATTATCGAAATAATAAATTGCACTGGGTAAGAAATAGTTGGATGTCTGTTTATGTGTTTTAGGCTACTAAGATAATCTACCAGATTTGCTTACTATGATATCTTTATTAAGTGGATATGTAACATTATTTCTTAACTTCATTTCTCACCCATGATTCAAGATTCTTTTTTTGTGTGCTTTTGGAAAATCGGTTGGTACATCACATCGCAAAAAAAGGTGCAGGATTAATACAAAACTACAACCACAATAAATTATAACTAGACTTATTATGTCTGTTTGAACAACAGAAAATAGGGTTTTCCCCCATTGCTTTAATGAGAAATGAAGCTGAAATTGCAACAAAAGGAAAAGTTGTTAAAAGGTATAAAGTAAAAAAAAAATATGGAAAACCAATATCATTTTAATGAAGTAGAAAAAAATGAAGTGAAAAAAAAAAAAACGAAAACCAGTTTTACCGCGACGTTATTAGTGAGACTTGAATTATGGCTGCAATGGTAATAGCGAGGTACATCGTGGCTCATAACCATTGCTTGCTATATGGGTCGACCTTGTATGGGAAAGTGCATTTTCAGTTCATAGCGATTCAATGACTGAAAGCAAAAATTGTTCATGCATATCACTGTAGTTTTGAGTTTAACCTAGCTGTAACTGGTTTAATCACTTTAGAAAACGCAAATTGCATTTAAATAATTTAATCAACTGTCAAAAAAAAATCTTTAAATGGTCCTCATATCCACACCCTACTGCAGATTGTCACCAAAATTGGATCATTTCTTCAATTCACCATGAAAAACTATTCTGCAAAGTGTCATTTTTATCCATCTATAACTGGGAAGTAAGCAATTTAAACGACCCTCAAATTTACACCCTGGGACGTTTTCCTTTAAATGGTACTCATATTCATACCCTACGCTGGATCATCACAAAAATTCAGTCATTTCTTTACTGGACCCTTACAAACTATTATAGAAAGTTGCATTTACACACATTGAAAACTTTCTATAGATATTTACGTCTGGGATCTCAAAAATTTATATGACCCTCCAATTTACACCCTTGACTGATTCGTCACCAACACATAATACCATCTTCCTTAAACTTAGTTAAACTTTTTCCGAATTTTTTATTCAGTTCAGTTGATCCGTTTTCGAAATATGTGGTCAGGGACGTTTTCCTTTCAGTGGTCCTCAGATCTACACCCTACTCCGGATCGTCACAAAAATGTTATTATTTATCAGGTTTAAATACTCATTGATTTTTTTTAAAGAGATCATTAGGTCTGGGTCCTCAAAAATTGAAATGACCCTCCAATTTACACCCTTGACTGATTCGTCGCCAGCACATAATAATGTCGCCAGCACATAATAATTTCTTCCTTGCTTGGTTAAACTTCTTCCGAATGTTCCATTCAGATCAGTTGATCTGTTTTCGAAATATGTGATCTGGGACGTTTTCCGTTAAATGGTCTTCAGATTCACACCATACTGCGGATTGTCACAAAATTTTAATCGTTTTGTTTCTCTTTACCAGCTTCAAAAAATACAAAATCCTGCAGCCCGTGTGTGTGTACACTTACGCCACACCGTCAGCATATTACTCCCGTAATCTTGGCCCTTCATTGGCTTCCCGTTAAACAATGAATTGTTTTCAAGATCCTCATTTTAACATATAAAGCTTTATTATTTTCTCATCCATCTTAATCACTCAACTAGTTCCTCGATATGTTCCATCTTGCTGCATTCGCAGCCCACCCTGGACATTTTTATTTAAATTTCATGTTACAAGTTTACGTAGGCAAAGTGCGTACGGTTAGGCGTCACTCAAAATTTTTCAAAAGTGGTCCAAGGGCGAATAATATGACAATTAGGGGCTTTCAAGGCTTAGTTAATTGATTTTTATAGATTTCAAGGCCTTTGCTGAATATTGCGGCAGTAAAAAAAAAAATCCCTACCTATCTACCCTATTTTTTGGGGCCAGTTACACCAACATAACATGACATGGTGTCATATGATACCTCCATGGTGCGCCTGTGTGTGCTGTTACGCTGCCTTTGTAAATAGGCAAAAATGACTTTCCAGAAATCTGTTCATTATGAATTTTCTTACCCTAGCTAAACTGGATATGATGTCGTGCCCGATTTATTTACAGTATTTTCTATTTTGACAAAATTAAAGCCATAATCCGGAAAAGATGCCAAATCGTGTGGTAAGACAAACAATTTATGGAATGTTTATGGCTTTTGGTGTCGCCTACTGTCTAATGTGGTGGATGGACCTCTGGGGACTATCATGGACATATCTGAAAGCATAGACAAAACAGTACACTGTACAGTTGTACGACAAAAACTCTATCAACATTCCAACATGAAAATTTGTTATTTGGAGTCTCATTTTATTTTTCAATGGCTGATTTGGTTGACAATTATTTATAAAATGATCAGTGTAATTTTGTTTGTTTACACAAGCTTTTGCGGGGCAATATAAATCCTACCGTTTGTGTCGTTGAGACCTATGACCAAGAACCAAGAACATAAACATATATTCGTACAATTTAACAACGCAAGAGATTTGTTTTTGTTATTTTTTTATATTCAAATATTGCACTTTTCTGTATTTTTTAATTTCCACATCGAAAAATATTTTAAGAAAATAAAAGTAATTCACTCATCAGTTTTGTTTTGATGCCTTTACTCTGTCATTAATGGAAAGAAAGTGCAATAGGCAACATACCTTGCCAGTACTGCAAGTTGCCTTAGTAACAGTAAATCAGTAGAAACGTTCCCACAAGAAGTAGGTTCCCATGATACTATTGGGAGAAACAGACACAAGGTCAGTCACCTATTAAAGTAGTTTTAATTCTTTATATGCTGCCAATTCAGATATGTGGATGCACTAACTACATTCTGCCTGGCTTCACCGCTGCTCGGCCGTTCCATTGCGAAACAGCGTAACTGTTTTTTACTTTTGTGCAGTTACATTGTTTTGATTTGGAACAGCCATGCTCAGGAGTGCGATGCCATTGTGCCTGCCGATGCCATTTTACATTTCAGCTAAGTAACTTCTTTAACAAACATTGCTCATTCCCAGCTCAGTCAGTATGTTGTTGGATTAATTGTACTAAAGTCAGAACAGCATTATCGACTGATTTTTTAGATTGGTAGGCAAAATGATACGGATCAATATTGGGTCTTACTGGTTCCATGAGAAGCTTAAAAATTAGACTTTCCAAGGATTTTATAACTTAAACTACTAAGGTTAATGCCGCGGGATGGTATCATAAAATATTGCAGGTCGCGATTCCTTTGGAACAGGGACAGTTGTCAATGTTTTCCAGGAAGTAAGTATAGTGTGCGATTCATTTGATTTTTGGAACAGTTTGGTGAATGGCTTTAAGAAATCATGAGAACAAGATTTTAGTAACATTGGGCTAATATTGTCTGGGCCCATCTTTTTTAGCATTTAGTTTTGCTTTCAAGCAAAGCAACCTTTGAGCAGGACATTCGTGTATGGGATGGTGTCCTCCAAGCTACAAATCACAAACCTATTGCCTTCCTTCCCTGCTTTAGCATCTGTGTGCCTTCTCGTCAATATGCAAATGAATTAAATGAGTTCTTTAATAGATTTAATAAACATGAGTTCATGGGTGAATGTTTGGAACTTAAACATAAGATTAACGATTCATTATATGATTGTGAAAGATTTAAAATCGATGAAGTAGAGGTAACAAAACATTTCAAAGGGTTAAAGGCATTGAAAGCAGCTGGTCCCGATAGGATTTTACCCAGAGTACTGAAAGTGTGTGCTTGTCAGCTTTCGCACAACTTTACGTACAGGTATATTTTTAATTTTGTTTTCTTTTCTCATGTACTTCCGCTGGCTTGGAAAATATCATGTCTAAACCCAGTTCCTAAAAGACACCCTATTAGCTGCTATAACGATCTTGCATTGACGTCGGTACCTATGAAAGTTTTGAAAAAATTGTACTGAATAATTTGAAGCTAACAATATCAGATCATCTTGATCCTCTCCAGTTTGCCTACTGTACTAATAGGAATACTGAAGATGCAATACTGTATAAACCTCAGAGAATTTATTGTCACTTAGATGACTGGAAAACTAATCCATGTGTGAGAATCATGTACTTTGACTTTAGTTCGGCATTTAATACAATTCAACCTCACATTCTTATGAGTAAGTTATTTGATTTGAATGTTCCAAGTGCATTAATTTTGTTTGTTTTTAATTTTTTGGTCGACCGTCTTCAGTATGTTAAGCTACAGAATAACGTTATTTCCGATACAGTATCTACCAGTACTAGTGCACCACAGGGTACTGTTTTGACCCTTTTCTTGTTCTCGATTTATACACGTCAGACTTTAGGTCTACTTCTCTGAGTTGTCCAATGATCAAATTTGCGGATGACTCAGCATTGATTGTTCTCATAAATGATAATAATGATTACCTGTATGTTTCTGAAATTCACTGAGTATTGTGGAAATAATTTTCTTGAATTAAACATAAATAAGACAAAAGAAATGCACATTGATTTCAAGAAGAATAAGAGAACTGTTTTGAATAAAGTAAACATTAATGGTCAAGAAGTGGAGATTGTAGATTCTTATAAGTATCTTGGGGTGGTGTTTGACAATAAACTTTGTTGGAGGGATCATACTGATTTTGTAGTTAAGAAATTAAATAGTAGACTCTAATGTCTTAGAAAACTAGGTTCTTTTGGGCAGGACATATGTTTGATGTTCTATGTATCTATGTATGTGATGTTTTCTGTTTGGGGGTATTGTATGTTAACAATAAAAATTAATCTGTATCTGTATAACGTTGCCTGTAACTCTAGCCTCTGCAGAACGTTCGTTCTCCAAACTGAAGTTGATAAAAACTTGGCTTAGATCAACGATGTGTCAAAAGAGGCTTGTGAAATGGCCGTAATCTCAATTTTAGAGGAAGAGGTGTAATCATGAGATATCGACAGTTTAATTGACAGTTTTGCGATTTAAAATGCATAAAGAGAAGGTCGGTTATGTGCATACAATGACAAATGTTGTATTTTGTGATCAATCTTCTTTGCATTGTATATATACAATACATTATTAAAACATGTTTTGCTTCTCACTAAAATATTGTCTGTATTTATTTATACCTACATAGTGTACATATTAAACTGTAGGCCTATACCGGTTCCGAAAGTTGGCCTATGTAATCTATGTTGGTTTTGTCATAAAATTGTCTGAAATATTTCATCAGTCATGAACCATTCTATGTTCTCTGAAAAAAGTTCATAAAATAATAATCATAATAATAGTTCATTCTTATAAGTGCAAGTAAGCAAGCTCTCAATGCGCTGTACATAAATAACAGAATAATGTCATGTTAAATTAATGAAAAAGTTTATGGAAAAGAAAGGTCTTTAGCTTGGTTTTAAAAGAGTAACACACTGATGGAGATTGGTATGGAGTTCCACAGAGTTAGAGCTGTGACAGCAAAAGCTCTCCCACCATAGGTGGATGTTCTAGTCTTTGGAACAAAAAGTGATTGGGCACCTGACCTAATAGCTCTTGTGTTCTGGTAAATCTGCACAAGCTCAGATAGGAAACCAGGTACCAGATTGTGCTGTGCCTTGTATTCCAGGACCAACACCTTAAATGCCATAAGCCTCCTCGAACACCCCCTGGACCCCGATAGTCGGCCTACACAGCTCCCTAGCCCCCAGTGTCTGTTCGCTCTGCTGATAAATACACATCGAATGATATATATTAGATATTTTAGACTAACTGTTCCCTATTTAAATCAGTATATGTTCATAAAAAATAAACAATGTTGGATATCCTAAAAACATAAATTTCACGAATTTCCCCATCACTTTTCCTCAAAAACATTTCATACTTTTAATTTCTCAACTTTTCTCCTCAATATACCACTGATTACAGACAAATATCATGAAAAAAGACGCCTCTAATAGCAAATGTTTTGTCCTCCAACTTGATGGCATAAGACCGTCTTACTCAATGAGTTCTCTAAAAAATTAAAATATGTATGTAGCGCCTTCTGTGTAATAATCACAACATACGGCACCGGAAATGACACTCTCATACTGTAAAAATACATTTTCAATTAGTGTTTTCAACAGAATAACACATGTCCCCGAACCTGCTCCCTGGATCCGCAGTTGGCGCCGCCAGTGGTTAGAAAACGAAACATATCAGTGCCCTTCATAAAAATATCATTTATCCTCATCAATCTCCCCCTCCCCTGGACTTGCCACAAGTCTCTTATTTTTTTAATTATTTTTCTCATTATGGACAGCGCCACCAACGAGAAAGTTAATTTAGAGACTGAATAAGCGACTTGTAAAACACTGAAATCAGGCACCAGGATGCCAAAAGAATGACGTAATCTTATATTCTGTATTTGGATAAATGGGTGGACCGAAATAAACAATTTCAACCAATCAAATGTTCATATTTTTGGAGCCACGAAACTGAGTCACTCGTGTCGACTATGTAGCCATGACTAAATTTAAATAGTCCTCCCTAATTTTGGCAATGGCAAAAACAATTAAGTTTAGACTAGATGGCATACCATACAAATACAACAAAACTTTAACTTTCCAGGAGTAGTAGGCCTAGCCTAGACTAGTAGAGGCTTGGCGTATTTTTAAGTTCTTACTTTACAGAGGCCTACCTTTTTAACAATATTCTACCCTAAAGGCCTAAATCTGTGTAGCAGCTAGTGGTGAGCATAGTATAGCCTACAGTTATCAGTCCATGTCGTTCTCAGCAGGCCAGAACTATATACTAACTGTTTTAATTCAAGTATAGGTAGCCAAAAGGGAGCTGGTTAGCTTGTTCTAGTTGAGACATCCGCATCTTCAATTTTGAAAATTTACCAAGATTGATTAATATGCATGAAGTTAGCCAATCATGTGATTTACAAAATCAGTCATGCATACGATATCCCACATCAAATTTGAATCGTACGCATGAATCGTTTGCCCAGGCCCTAATTCGAAAAAAAAGAAATCGAGTATGGGACGCCAATTAAATTAGGTATGGCGCGCACTAAGTGCAATAAAGAGTGAGTAACCTAAAATTAAGGCCTGGAACCCAGGCTACCCCTCCCCATGTCAAATATGCCACTAGATACAGTCAGCTACACTCAGAAAAAGCCAGACAGAGATCTTGTTAATGCCAGAGTAGGGGGATGCCAGAGTAGGGGGTTGTGTTTCTATTGAAAGAAAAACTTTTTCTTTAACACTGAAAATCGATAGGACAAATTATTTATTTTTAGCAATGTCACGCGCGTGTGAAAAGAATACACAGTTCACACACCCACTCTCAAACAGTGGCTAACCAGCAGTTTTGTGGACTGCACTGTGCAGCTCCTTTAACCACTAAATTGTGGTTTATAAATTATGCTTTTTTTTTCTATTGTACTTCAGGCAGGCATCATTGAGGAAATGATGGAAGACACATTTGAAAGCTTAGAAGATCAAGATGAACTGGAAGATGCAGCACAAGAGGAGATAGACAAGGTTCTGTTCGAAATTACAGCTGGTAAGTAGATTTTAAAAGTATGAACAAATTATGATTTCCAACCATCATTTTATAATAATTTTAGAACTACTTACAGTTACCTAATATCCCATGTGATGTGAGCAGCAGGCTGACTGAGTTCTGTTTACTTTGCAGTTTCTTTCTTTACCCAGCAGCAGGCTGACTGTTCTGTTTCTGTGCAGTTTTTTTCTTTGTTTCAACATTTTAAAAGGCTACTAGTGGCAAACTACTGGACCGATTTTATTAAAACTTCGTCAGTAGGACCGGAGGCCGCCTCCCGTTTATTGGGTGGCTACCGCTTGGGGTCAAAGGTCACATAGGTGTCATTAGGGTAAAAAATCCAAAAAAATGAATTAGAGACTTCTGTCACAAATAACATAGCCAAGTCTTGTCCTAGGCACACATCCATTGGCATAAGGTACGGTCTCTATGGTATTCAGGTATTTAGGGACAAAGTTGTGTCTGGTAACATTTCAAAATGCTACTAATGGCAAACAATTGGACCTAATTCTATTAAATTTGGTCATTATTAAGAACAAGTGACACCTCCTACACCCCAGTCTGGGATCTGGGGTCACATACGGGTTATCGGGGTCAATTCTTTAAAATAACCGAATTGAGCTCAAATTTACCAGGAATTACATGGCGTCATCAGGGTCAAATTTTAAAGATAGCCCAATTGCGCTCAAATTTACCTGGAATGATCCTTAGGACCTTCTAAACATGAACAAAATCGATCCGTAATATGCCATGTGTGAATTTCATTATTGTAGCTTTCATATTTTTGGCACAAAAGAAAGAAAGATTACCAGTATCCTGATTTCCTGTGCAGTTAGTTTATCCTGCGTGATTTTTTTTTTGGCTGCCAGGGGAGTGTGCCACCAGCATCTTCTTCAGGCCAATGTAAACACTGAAAGGAGTCTATGCAACTTTACTCCATATGAATACAATATTGTACTTAGTACTTATCTGGGTGTCATCCTAATCCTTGCTTTACAATGGTTTTTTTTCCTGAACTTGAACAAACCTAGTTCAAGCGTGAATTATGTTCAAGTAAAAAAGCAAAAGTTGAAAATGCATTCATCTGAGCATGCACAATATTCATGATTTTAGGGTATAATATTAGTCTACTGAGTATACTAAAACGGAAGAATTTTATTTTGTCTGTGTTTTTTGCTGTCTGGACCTATGAACAATGTGATGTTCAAAAGACTGAATTTAGACTTCAAAGGACCACTCCTCTTAAAGTAATGATAGGAATGTATATTTCCTGACTGATTGATGAGAACTCTAGATTCCAATATTTTTCTGTGCGCTAACTTAACAGCTTCGACTGTCATAAATTGCCTCGGCCAACTGTTCTCTCTATTTTGTACACCAGTTTTTTTATGTAGAGTACTTCGAGAGTTCCTAGTGGAAAAGGGAATTGCGTGTAGTGGGATGACAAATTGTCAACCCTCAGGTAAATGGCCAAACCGAAGGTTACAATGGTATAACTTGGAAGGCAATTAACTATGGCGCTCCAAAGTCAAGAACTAGAAACAAAATATTGGCAATGAGTAGTTCTAGATGCTTTACATTCGATTCGCTCACTACTCTAAACAGCGACAAACGAGACACCACATAAACGTTTCTTCAAGTTCTGCATTGGTTGCCTCCATCCCCTCTTGGTTATGCACACTGGGCCCCATTTTACTTAGGAGACATGTCCATGTACATAAAACTGACCCCCTAGAGAATGAAGTTGATTTGCTTCAAGCGAATCCACAGTATGCCCATGTGTGTTTCAACGATGGCCAAGAGTCTACTGTGTCACTTCTTCATTTTGCACCAAGATAAAGCGATTGGAACTGTCGATACATCACATATTAGCACAAGTGATGAGAATATAGTTGATAACACAAAGAGAACTGTAGTACATCAACTATTTGTGAACCAGAAACCTCAAATTTAAGACACTCAACACACATTTGCAGACCCCTGCAGCTAGCTGTGAAAAATTAGGCTTGTATTTGCCTAATGATCCATATTAATCTTTTGAACTGTTTGAATATGTAAACATTTAATGTTTAGTCTAATGTTTTATAGTTTACTGAACTATGAATTTCCAGAAGAATGTTGTATTATTGTTTTTGTTATAGTGAAACCCCCCCCTCCCCTTGCAATAATGCTACAGTATTACTTTATGAATGCTAATTGGCACCTCATACTGTAGCAGATGATTCATTAACAAGGTGAATGACTTTATAAAGCAATTATTGTCAATTTATATGAACACAGAAAATACCTGTAGAAACCTTAACAGCCATTATATCCTTCAAAAACATGCCTTCAGCCTTCTGTAGATTCTAGCATTATTGTCCGGAAATAATGGCTCTTTTGGTTATATAAATTTGTATAGTGTCCTCAGACTTGACTATAATTACAACATGTACTAATATTTCTATGTAAAGTAATAAGATAAATACATTGTGCAATACTTTGCTTATGTAGTTTGTCTATATCTTATTCATTGTGCAGGTGCTTTAGGAGCAGCACCTGGAGCAGTTAGCGATCAGCTACCTGAGCCAGCAGGTGCTGTAGGAGGTGTTGAAAGCGAGGAGGAAGATGCAGAAGAAGATTTAAATGAAATGCAGGCCAGACTAGAAGCCCTGAGAAGTTAGGATTCTGTTTTACTGACAAAATATTTATCTTTCTATTAAAAAAAATATTCATGGACATTTCATGCACCCTGGGTGAGTAAATTGATCTGCAAAGCAGAAGTGCTGATATTTTAGGAAATGTACTGCAACAAGAAATTTACATTGGAACAGATGAACAAGACAAAAACAATGAATTATGCAGTGTGAAACCTGTAAATAATGCTCCAATTTTACAAATTCAAAAACTATATTGGTGGTGTAAGTTGAGGCTAAAAACATATCTATATATAGAAAAAATGTTAATAGAGTATTTTTTTTTTGGAATAGTTTCATCTGGTTTGCTTTATTGTAGCTGTAGAACTGTTTTATCGATAGGGACTGGCTATACGTACAGTGGCTGTGTATACAACAAAAGTAGTTTTGTTATATGCGCAGCGACAAGCAACCAATTGCAGCACACCAAGTACCATAGTATCACGTGATTTAAAAAGCTCACTTCTTTTTTTTTTTTAAATCAATTTTGTGGTCTTTTCTTTGTGATTCTTTGCACAGTGTGGACGTGATATTTGATGATTTGATATTAAAACACTTTTACTATTGTTATCTGTTTTTGTTTGTTTTGTCAATATGACAAGACTTCAACTCGGATATAACTTTAGTAGTTAGGAGGAATTGGAGAAGGCTGAAAACAAGTTTTATTGAGCACTGCTGAATCCGTGGCTAGCTAGGCCTAACGAACCCAGGGTACAGTGTCAGTAGCAGGCACCACCGCGTGTGGTTAAGAGTGGGTGCAACTTAGCCTACCTACTAGGGGAGAGTACTGCAGTTGTGGCCTTTCGCGGTTGGTTACAGTCTAGGGACTCCTAGGTTTAAGATCAAACTCAAAACTCACATTTTTAACATTTGAACATTTTGATTTTTACTTCGGTTTAGTGATATTGGCACTTTATAAATTATTAATATTATTATTATTATAATTATTATTATTATTGTGGCAGGCCTCGAATTTTACCGCGGCCATTGCTGACGGTGCCCTCCCAGTTGGCCTTGGTGCCCCTGAAAATGAAGCATGACGACGGCCACTACTTGCCTGCCCTTTTGAAGCCTTGGCCTCGGTGCCCTCACGATGCTTAATAGATCGTTTAACACGTACAGTAAAATAAATCTAAATAAGAACGTTTAAATCTTGAAAGAAAACTTAGGTCGCCTAAGCTAGCCTAGGCCTAGATAAGGTTGCAGTGACAGAACATGAGAGAATTTCCATGTTTGTTGATACGAACTGTTTTTGCGGTTACCGTTGTGTGCGCATGCGTCTTACTCGAGCGATTATTGCAGTAAACATTGTACTGTAGTTGTAAACATGTGCTTGCTGCGTAGCTAACTTTGGACGATCTTACGTCATCGCAGCTTAAGCGTGTAAAATTAACGTAATTCATTGACACTCGGCTAATCTAGTTCATGACGGCCAGTTTAGAGTTATGGCTTCCTCTCCGATGACGACGTACTGAGCAACAACACAAGATATCAAACTTCTTAAAATTTGACTGTTTTGTACGATCGCCGACCGCCGCAGTATATTCCAACATTGAATCGATAATTAATAGTTAATACTTTAAACAAGTCATGTTACCATTGACAACTATGGATTGGCCTAGGCCTGGCTTGGCCTACGGTAGCTTGCTTAGCCTGGCTACGATGAATCAAGGCACGCGCGAGAAATAGTATGAGGCTAAATCAAATTTTGCCTTGGGTGCTCTTTTATACTTGAAATTTTGGTCTTGGTGCCTTTCAAAATCATGTCATACCGGAGGCCATTTGGCCTTGCCCATAAAATCCCCAAATTCGAGACCTGTTGTGGTTGGTACTCAATGTCCTTTGAGGTACAGTTATGATAGTAGGTTCGAACCTGCGCTGTGAATTTCGCTTGTTTGTGGTCTGCCCCCCTCCCTCCCAACCTCAAATGACCATACAGTATTATGCTGGCTACCGCCCATCGACTAATCATCGAACCCCCTCTTCCATTTCAATGCTCCTAGATATGCTACTCCTCTCTCCACCAAGAAGAATAAATAGGGCACCTTAATAATGATCATTGAAATGAAAGTGAGTGTGTAGTCGAGGTGATTAAGCTATAAATAATATTAACCAATAAATAAACGTTTGTTGCTCATTTCTATAATATTTAACCACACTGTTGAGTTACTACAATATTTTGATATTTACAGGGTGGTGATGGAGATCAAAAAGTTAGGGGAAACGCTCCTGGGCCTCCCTTTGCCTGAGTCAGTGTTCATATAACATATATTAATTGCAATTTTTGATAACACATAGGCCTATGTAAGTTCATTATATACACAGCTGCTTTGCGTATAAGATCCGTTCTGTCCCTTATATACATAGGCACTGTGTGTATAAAATCCATGAAGTCCATTATATACACAGCTGCTGCACTTATAAGATCCGTTCTGTACCTTATATACATAGCTGCTGTGCGTATAAGATCCGTTAAGGCCATTATATACACATATAAGATCCGTTCTGTCCTTATATACACAGCCACTGTGCATGTAAGATCCGTTAAAGCCATTATATACACAGCCACTGTACGTATATCCTTATCGATAATACACCAAGCACTAATGGATGCATTAAACGCAATGCCCAAAACAATGGATGCCAGCTCACATAGCATGACAAAGTCATGTTAATAACATGATGAAAGCTTGCAGTAATTTATATCCATTGTACTTCACTTGGTTTATTATCGATAAAACAGTTCTACACAAATATTTTTTATCAATACAAAAGTACAGCCAAGGGTTCTTACCATTACATGATTATATGAACCATGTAACATAGAGTACTACAGTGTTACGTCACGATACCACGTAATACTACTGCGTTGCAAAATACATTAAACCTGATGCCATTTTCTCCACTGACAAACCATTGATCCAAATTTCTAATGATGTTGTATCTTAGTTTTTCTTTGTAAATTTTAATTGATGATTAAATGTGTGTTCGATAACTAATATATGCGAGCTTTTGTGTTCTTAGTACATTTTGATGGTAAAATATTAAATTTGGAAATACCTATTCCAGAAAGCCTATGAAGTCATTCAGGCGTAATGAACGGTGAACAACGTCTGGTTGGCAACAGAGGGTGCTACCTGGCGTTTTGACGACACAACTGTGGTACTCTATAATCTCTTGAGAACACTAAACTTGCCTAATCATTTTTTTTCCTTTTTTCTCAGTTTCTTGTGGAAATGTTTTATCTGTTACACTATACTACTTGAAAGTTCTGTTATACTGTGACAATCAATATTGCATTCTAGCTAATTTAGCAAGGGCTAAAAGAGGTTTATTTACCATTGTGTTTCGATTTGTGTTTTTTTGCTGTTGGCCTAGGTCTCTTTCCCTGTGTATTTTTGATTGATAAAGTGGTAATTAGTACAGAAATTTGGGCTCAATTCTTCCTGGTAAAATATAATATATTTTTTTGCAAAAAAATAAGCCCACCCTAAATTTGTTAATGATTTAGGGCATTTTAGTTTAAAGAATGTCTTCTTTTTACATGATTTACTTTTACATGATTTGAATATCAGTCAAGTGATCACAGGCCTTTGCAATTATAGTTTAAATGTATTATATAGACAGTGACCGTCTGTATGCTTAGTAATGATGATAATAATGTTAACTTAATTTTTATTTTTAACTCACAAGCCATAATTTATTTTGATCATGGGACTGAAAATGGCAACAGTTTTAAAATGCTCTCATTCTTTTTTTTTCTGCATGATATATTAGTTCAATATTTGTACAGTGGCATTAATTAAAGGTTTTGCACATTAGAGGTTAGCATTGGTCATAGTGGATTTCACTAAAAATGCTACTCTCAATTTTAAATCTCCCAGAATGTGTATAGTAGATGCTGTAATATTGAGTAGTAATAGTTGTTTAGGAATTTCAGTGATTATTTTGAAAGTCATTTCATTAGGCAATTTCAATATTGTAAAGGAAAAACAATTTCAATATTGTATAGTGAAAACAAACTTGATTTTACTATTTACAGTATTTCTAGTATTATCGTTTTTGTGCTGTTTTTAAAGGCTGCTAAGAAGTAGCCAATCAAGTGGAATTTTCCAAAACTATTCATCTGACACTTTTTTTTTGTTCCTGATTTGGTTGTATTTGTTTCTAGTCCAGCAACCAGGTGGATTTTTTTTTTCACATTCATCTCCCCACAGTTGAAAACTAGCTAAAAAGAAATTTGAAAATCCCCATCAATCATGATAAGAAACATCCAACCACTTTGTCGAAATCCAGTTTGCCTAGTCAGGGTCGCTTTGCCAAAACCCAATTTGCTGAATCCAGTTCACCAAAATCATGACAACCGATCTCAAATCGGCACCTTTATTCGAACCCTCTGTAGGACATGTTGGACACCTTGTTATCAAATATCTGAAGCCACTAACTCTATGGCGCGTGTGTATAATTGTAGGTTAATGTATTTCCTTTAGGTCTATAATTATTATCTTTATGCTTTATTACCTCCGTCAAGGAGGTTATGTATTTATTCACTGCTGGCTTTCTGTTGGGCTGTCTTTCTGTTTGTTATTAGCAAGATTACTCAAAAACCAATGCATGGATCATCATAAACTTTAGTGAAATGGTATATAATAATCGAAGAAAGACACCATTTAATAAGAACAAGTAAAAGGACAAGGTCAGGGTCACAAAATTCGATTTTTTACCCTCGAGCATAAAAGTAAATGATGGAACCGCCCCACGTATTCTGGCAGCACTTATAATGTGCCTCAATACGATGGGTGATTCCATTATATTCTTAAAGGTATTCTGCAGCACTCAAGAAAATCACGATGGTGTGCATTTCGATACTTTGAGTGTATTATACTATATTATCTGAGATTAATCGGTGGATGTTTCAGTTTCAAGAAAGTAATGTGCCTTAATACTGAACATTCCATTATTTCATTGAAGGTATGCTGCAGTTTTGCCCCATTATACACGGCCTGTGTATTGTTGGTACTGTATTCAGGCACTTGGCAGAGGTTTGTACTCTATGGAGTGACTACTCTAGTTAGAAATGTGCTTATAAGACATTTTATCTGATAGGCCTAATAATTTTTTTTTTCTTTTGCTGATAGCTTTGATTTACAGAATAAGACAAAATTAATCATTAAATAATCAATAAATTAGTACAGTGAAAATCATGGCCCCCGTGACCATTTTCTTGGGACCAAGTTTTCTCTACTGATTTAGCATCACTAGGCCATAAATAAATAAATATTCAATATAGTTTTAAATACGGAAAATATACCTTCAACTTGGTCAAGTTCTATTATAATTCCATTTTTCAAATCGGGGGATAGAAACTTGCCACAAAACTACCGTAGTATATCTCTAATCACAGCAACTTGCAAAATATTTATGAGAGTAATTTATAATCGCCTTTTGAAATGGGAATCAACAAATAATATACTTAGGGAAGAACAGGCAGGGTTTAGAAAAGGGTACTCTACTACTGATAACATTTTTATTCTTCATACTTTAATTAGAAAATACATTTATAAAAGTAAGGGAAGATTTTATTGTGCATTTATAGATTTCAAAAAGGCTTTCGATAAAGTAAATAGACAAATATTATTTAATAAACTTAAACAGAGTGGGATAAACGGGAAAATATTCAATATTTTAAAAGCATACTATGAAAATGTAAAAAGAAAGAAACACGGGTGTATTAATGCAATTTATTTAAAGTACAGCATTGTCACAGCATGCTTATTTAATTTGTAATAATTTTGTTTTACAAGGGGCCGGAGGCCTGAAGTTTGATGAATAAATTCCCTGTATGGGGAGCATGAGATAAATAAAAAATTGAGTTGGGGTGAACCTCCAAAAAAAAGGGTGGAACACGTTTTGGCCGCCAAAATTCAGATATTGGCTCGTAACTTAATTTATATTCAATGAAAAAGGGCAAATCTGGTGTCTAAGTATATGTTATTGGAGTCACTGAAATCAATGAGACACGTTTCATAAACCGAGAATTGGCACTCATTTTGAAATTCAAGATGGTCACCATAAAAATGGTAAAAAATTGAACATTTCAGTGTAATCTCTATGAAAAATGATAAATTTGGGTCTAATTATATGTTTTTGGGCTCTGTGTGTAATATAAACATAGTTTCAAAAAGCTAGAATAGCAGCCATTTTTGGTTCCTATGCTTTCAAGCATATGAACGTCTGTACCCAAGCAAAACTGGGTATGACTTTGTGCCCTAGTAATAATTTTCTATTTTGACAAATATTAAAGCCATAACTAATGAAAGACAATACCCCCTACCCTTGAAAAGACTAGTAAACTGTATGATAAGAGGAAAACATTTATAGAATGTGGTTTACTTTCATTGTCCAACTAAGGCTACGGTCACACTAGCGTCTCAAGCCTGGCTCGACTCACCGCGGGTGAGATTTCAAGCCAGGCTCGAAATTCTGGGTCGGTCAAACTAGTTGGATTGACCTCTAAATTATGAAAGTCGAAACAGCAGAGCTGTAAATGGAGAGTTTCGC